ATCTAGATGAATATTTTTTGTTGTTGTTGTTGTTGTTGATTAGTAAGATAAATATGGAAAAAGAAACAACTAATATCATGCTGTTTCATTATTGAAAGAGAGTTAGAGCTGTTATTCTAGTGATTTAGGAATGATTAGTCATATCATATACCATTTTGTAATGATTTAATTTGACAAATGATTGATTACACATGATTATCTTGGACCATCAATACAAAGTATTATGATTACCCAAATCCTAGGGAAGAAACATGCATCTTATGTAGGATATGCAGAGTCCATTATGTTTGAACAATTTATCTGTTAACTGGAAAATAAAATAAAAACACCTATATCTAATTAGTACACAAATAGATAATTTATCCAAACATTAAGAACATTCTCAGAAATTTTTTTAGTATCCGCTTAAGAAACGAATTAAACCATAATTTGTGGCTTTTTATTACATTAAATGAATTAACTGCTAAGAAACCATCAAAAATGAAAAAAAAAACGTCTTTAATTTCCAATTTTTCCATTATATATTATATAGATCTAAATAAAAACAATTTCCAAATATATATTTTGAATCAGATGCAGATCCGAAATATGCAAATATATATTCTCTAACATTATGTAACATTTTTCTATATCAAATTGCATTTCAAAACAATATAAAGTACCAGAGTAACTTTATATACCAAAAACACTGTTTAACATACTCTGTATATGGACAAAACCTCTGATTAAAAAATTCAGCTCTGGTGCAAAAAAATAATCAGACATTTATGAGTAACAAGTTTCACTTGAGGTCTGAGACTCTGCAGCAAAGTCATTGAACCAGCAGAACAGAGAATTAACAAACAAAAGGACAAAACAGTAAACAAAATTGAAGTTTCAATTTGTGAAATGTGGTGAGTGAGTGAAGCTAAATCATGGTTTCTTCTTCTCTGGTACAAACAAAAAACATTAAAAGCTAATTCCACCACCCCCAACTGTGTAAATGTCTGGTTCCCATCCTCTTAAAACGGTTATTCATGTTCTCACACTGAACCTTGCAACCTTTTACTCAGACATCACCTTAATCTAAGGACATGGAGGAAAGAAACCACATGGGTGATTCGGATTTAGCCGCCGATTTAGACTGTTTCTTCTTCTATGTTCTATGTTTAAAAACACCAAACCGACCCATCTTTTCTTGCCGGTGTATTCACAAAGGGAGATAGTTTTTGGATCTTATTACTAATATACTGCAAGTTGAGAAACAGTAGGACCGATGTACATTACTCACTGTAGAATGACATATACATTTGCAAACTTACACGAGAAAGGCCTACAATGTTCATTTCTTGGAGAGCATTTGATCTATTTGGCCGTTTTTGTTGTACATTTCCACTATCTTTTTGGCATATGATGGCATGTGACTGTCGGCTCTGCAGATGATAATGTTGCTTTTCTTTGTTAAGGGGCGATTCGATCATATAGAAACACATGGTTAATATAAACGCTTATATGTATGAGTGTGCTTCAGATTTTTTACCTTTGTTTTCCCCATTTGCGGTTTACATGCAAATAGTTTCTGATGGTATGGTAATCCAACGAGTACCGAGCAAATTCTAGACCCTTAGGACCAACCTAAAGCAAGAATGCATGACCAAGTAAGACTTTTTGCTATGAAGTTGCTTCCCTGTTTGTGTTTATAAGGAGGGAATTTTACCAAATTTAGGATGAATGCAATAATGTTTCCAACAAATAGTGGCGCTGGCTGAGAAGGACCTTGACCTGAGAAAATATAGAAAACTTGAATAATTAGAAGACTTCAGCACAATATTAGTAGCATACATTTCATGATAATTTTGTTTTTTTGATCTTCCGTAGCTTGAACATGAATATGGCTTTGAGCAGAGATGATTCAAGAAACATACCAAACTTGGCAGCATCATCTGCCTTAACGGTCTCTGTCACAAAAGGTCGCCGATCACCCTGAAACAGCAGCCAAAAAAGGTATGTTTGTTCGTGTTTCCTGTTAAATGGTGGACTCTGAAGTCTTAGATATAACAAGTTTTTAAAAAGTTAGAAGTTTACGCTGCTAATAGTAGGAGAAGTCTCCAAAAGGTTTTCTACTAAGCTTAGCATTTCTTTCCCGCGTTCATTCCTGTAGTTTTATGCATATAGAAAACTAATTTCAGCCAACCTCATGAGCCTATGTGGTTCATGTTGAAAATGGAGGTAGAAATGTTGACCTCACTGTAATATACTGTGGATGGTCAGTCATGTTCACACCTGAATACTTTGGAACACCCATGTAACCGATAACCAAATCCTAGATTAACCAGTGCATACATAGAGTTATCAGGAAAAGTTTGAAATTCTAAACTATTTGGAAAGATATCTTAATTGCTAGAGAAACACTCACCGCTAATGCATTTGTGTAATCAAAGCAGCTGCAGGATAAAAAAAAAAAGGACTTTTGAGAAGGTCACAGCGGCAACACCCTGACTGTAGACAAATTTCGAAACTTAATATGTAAAGACTGGTATTACCTATAACAAGATGGAGCTATGACATCAGTTAAATCGTTTGCTGGTAGAGAGAAATAGGGAACCTGTTTTAGCCAAAAGACAAAAAACGGCTTAACGCTGCAACATTGCAGAATCAATACAGTATTTTAAGTGATTATACCTCTTCAATGTGTCCGTCCAAGTGTTTTAGTTGGACCTACAAGAGAAGTCAGAACACACTTAACACCACCGAAGCAAATGCTTATTGCTGAAAGTGTAAGAAGTAATAGATCACGGTTTATATCAGTGGTAACCTTGTAATCTTGCATAAACTCATAATGGAGAACAGTCTCTGGCTCCTTACTAGCTGCTTTCAGAAACTTGTCAAGTCCTTCCCGTGTTCCATTGTCCACTATTGATTCACAGATATTACACATACTTGTTGAAAACTTATAATATGCGTTTCTAGACTTACGCATATGAGACCTCAAAGTAAGATATTAACAAATCTATATAGGATGAGAAAACTACCACAATTAGTGCCTAATACATACAACTTTTCCAGATTCAGATGCTGCTCCACTGATCTCAATGCTGCAGGATAAGAAATCACTCTGCATTACAACACTATGAGTCATGGTATGGAGAAACTTTAAAACAGAATACAAAAAGAAGCATGTCAGACACCATACCTTGCACCTGACAACCCACACCGCAAAAAAGAAGACGTTTCACTCCGGAAGCCTGTTACAAAAGAAGTTTTAATTTATATGCAATAGACTCAGCGATAGAAAACACATGCGAGAAAGAAGGATTTGTAAATAACCTCGATTAGTTCAAGAGTATTCAGATTAGGAGACAGAGTTGGCTTGACACCTCTTGCAACCATAACTTCTTCAGGTGTCCTTCAAATGAAAAGAAATGAAACATCAAGGGGTCTCTAAAGTCAGAGTAACACCAGAATATGGATCCACAATCGAAACAGAGACGGATACTCGAATCATAAGGTCCTGAAATAAACAACAAAGGGAAGGTGGAAAACCTGGCCAATACTGGTCTCGGAGATAATCTATCTTCAGGATCACTGTAATTTTCAATAAATCAATTAGATGTGATCAGATGGACAAATTTAGAGCATGCTTGAGAAATCAACCTAGTCCATTTCTGAAATGAAACAGCAGTTTTACCTCTGCACACAAACAACAGCCTCAACCATGTTAGATTTCAGCATCTCAATGGCTATGGTCGTGACAATTCCAGTCCACTGTGCTCCTGCAATCGAAGATAGAATGAAAAGTAAACCACAAAGCTAAGCCAAAATCAAGCTTAGGTGCAAATTCATCCCAGGAGAGTTACATAGCTTTCAAGAAGAGTTATAAGATCCGAGGAAAATTTTTAAGCTTCTTCGACAGAAATTGTACAAAAAAGAAACAAAAGAGAGATGCAAAATTGATGCACTGTAACAAAAAACACAGCTTTTTCATCTAAAACGAGACAGAAAATGGCCTAGCATCAGTGTACCTTCAACAGGCTTCAGCTTACGAGCATAAAGCTGTTCTTGATGGACACCAAAATATGTGTCTTCTAAGGAATCAGCTTTCCTTCCTCTACCATGCACAACAGGTTCCAAGCTCTGCAGACAAAGAAAGCCAAAAATTAAAAACAAGACAAGAATCTAAACCCATCAATTGAAAATGTAACAAATCTTATCCATTTCAAGACCATATGTACATTACCTCAATCCTTGACATTCCATCTCCAAGAAATGCACATGCATCCTTCACATGGGCAATGTAGTAGGTGTCACATAACCCACACCGACTGCAAACCCCATTAAACAAACCAAAGATTCTGATAAGAAGTAGACAAAATTAGACAAGTAATACAAAAAAAAATAGACAGAACCTGCAATGATCTTTAGCTGGATAAGTTCCTCCGGGTGGTATAGGTTTGGACTTCTCCCTCCAGTCTTCTCTTAGTTTCGCTTTCTTTTTTGGTTCTGTATTCATATCTGCAGTTGAAGACCAGAAGAGAAGGAACAAAGAAAAACTTCATGCAGGTTTCAGAAGTAAGAATTTCACAGTCAAGACAACGATCAATGATGTATGTACCAAAAACAGACACTAAATATAAACATTCGACGACATAACCAATATTTTCTTATTTCTTTGAAATACCATAAATTCATACAATTCCAATCCTTTTACGAATCTCAGCGATCGTTTCTCACTGATGGGTAACCGAAATTTTGTAAAAGAGGGGTCTTTTTTAAGAAATTGGAGAATCTACGACGCGTGTGAACAGAGTGCAAGATAAAGAGAAAAAAAGTTGCAGAAAAAAGTAAGCACCTTTCGAACGC